GAGCGGTCTGAGGTATGCCGGGTAAACTTTAATGATTGTAGAGAGTGATGCGCCGTGATTCCCACAGAGGGCTATTCTTCCCCTAGGGGGTGCTACACTTGCAAAAAGTTTATACCTCGTAATTGGCTGCATGGATTCGCACGAAATTCGGTTTGTACGATCTCGGGTCACTTCTCAGTTCATGCATAAAATTTGGTAATGATTGCACAAAGTGGGCGTGGCTTCCTCGTATGTGAAAATGTACCTGACAATAAACCTGATTCTGAGACAGGGTTAGGAAACAGGCCGTTTCTATTTTAGATGAAGTAGAATTCAGTTGATTTAAAGCCATGAAGTCATGGCTGTGGATTGTAGATTTACATCAGCACTAATTAGACTCTAATTTTCCTAACTCATCATAACTGTAATGTCAGCAGCAACCAGAGTGTTTACAATATAATCTATGGTCAGACTAAACAAGGATTTATTTTGAAACCGCGTCCCGGAAGTGAGGCGGTTTCCCGGGCTTGGCCAGTGAACGCGGTGCGTCCAGACACTTTGGGACGGATCGGCTTTGTCCTGTTGTTGTGCTGAGAAAGAGTCTCTGGCATCAACTCTACTGATGGTGAGATGAAGCTTCATGAAGCATTGAAGCTTTGGTTGACTCAGGGGCTGAAGCTTCACGGTGCTTCATTTGCTCTACTGGGCCATCAAGTGGACAATAAATGTAAAACAGGCAGAGTAACATAACTTTTCCACAGTTTCAGGCGGTTTCTGTTTTTTATTATTAGGGTAATATGGGGTAAGAGCCCCCAGTTTTATTCAATCAAAAAACACAAGAAAGTCTCAACACTTTCTTGCTGCCGCTTGTCTTACTCAGCTAAAATTTCCTGTTTCATCACAATGTTTGAAATTTTAAAAACTCAATTCAAATCAAAGCAATTCTGACATCAGTTGATCAAATATTTTAGTATTTTAAAATAAGCTGTAGATGCAATCTGTGTTCAATTAAAATCAAAAGTCCACTAAACCTTGAGGAGGGTCCGTCGCATTTTGCTGCTCCTTTTGAATCGCACGCCAAACCCGAGAACCATTTCCTGAATCAGTCACGTGGTGCGGTCGGCTCTTTTTTCTTTTCTTTTTTTTAAGCTTTTATTCACAAATACTATGGTGAACATATAATACACGGGAGCAGACAATACCAGGGGAGCATATAGTTGACTGAAAAAAAATAAATAAATAGATGCAAGGTCTTGATAGCTTTCCTGTTTTTAGAATATAGGACTTGACGTACAGTCTGACTTTGTTTTCAAAAATGGCAAAGGAAGGTTTATGGTTGGAGAACTTAGATTTGTGAAAATGTGATTTTGCCAGCAATAACATCAAATTGATGATATAGAAATAATTTGCCTTGATAGAAGGATATTTAAAAAAACAAACAATACATTGTAATAGGAAAGTGAGAATTCAGAGTCAATATATTGGGAGATAAATGTACAAATGTCTAGAGTGGGGACAAGTCCAAAATAAATGATGCAGGCCATTTGACTAAATGAGCAGTTCACATCAATGTCCTTTTTATATCTTCGTAGAAATACCTTGGAGGGATAAAAGCGACGCAGTATTTTAAAAGCCACTTCTTTAGCCTTATTTAAAATTAGATAATTGGAAGGTAAGCAACAAATTTTCTTCCAGATTTGGAGTAAGGTTATTCCAATAAGGAACAACATTTGGAACAGAGACTATTTCTTTTTGAGTACGAATAGCTCGGTTATTGTTTCTCAAGTTAGAGGAGAAACAGGTCTGGCCAGCTGTCAAAGTACAAGAAACCAGTGGCAAAAGAAAAAGTTGGTACAGACAATTTAATCTTTAAGCCTGAGAAGGGATTGCATCTAAAACTAAAGCATATTCCTTTGGCGGTACAGGAAGTTCGGAGTGTGACATTAGTTCACCACTAGAATTGGGGAAACCAGAAAAATTCCATGGATAAACCAGTTTTGCAGGTACGACCGGCTCGCGAGGCTGCGAACGTCACCACATACGTCACCACCACAAGCCTCGATACGCGCGTCACAAAAATCACCGTGGATTACTGGACACGCGCTCCGAAGCCTCGACACGGAACTAATCTACAGCGAGGAGCCGCCAGAGCCTCCGTGTGTCCGGATAGAGCTGCTGCTCTCCGGCTTCACCTCGGACTCATCTCCCGGGAGCCTCCGGAGCTACTGGAGGTAGCTTAGCATGCTAACCGCAAGTTAGCCACAGTGCTAGTTAGCGTGAAAACGGTGTTTGTGAGTTCGTGGAGAAAAGTTTCGAGCGATGGAAATGAGTAAAGTCCAGGTGCTGAGAGCGTTGGTGAAGCAGCGACTGAGTGCGGCTGCTGAAGAGATATTCGGGCTGTTTGAAAGGACGATATCAGAGTACGAGCAGGAACTCTGTCGGTCCAAAGAGGAGAACCAGAGACACCGGAAGCTGCTGGACGCGGTGTTCCAGCCTGAAGTCCGGCTGCACAGAACAGGTCGGTTCTCTTCACATTTACTCTGACAGCGAAGCTGCCATGATAACACGAAGGCGGCGTCACTTCCTGATTCTTATCATCTCACCTCCTCTTGCTCATGCTGAATGAATGAAATGTAATCTGCGTTCAGTGAAGCAGCAGTCCTACATTGTTGGGTCTAAAGAATATTAAGCAGAGAGGATCTAAACATGCTCCATATGAGAAGAGCAATTAGAAGACTTGTGAATAAAACTGACACTCAGTACATCTGAAACAAGAATCCTGGATTTTAATGTAACAAGACAGGTGAAACTCCTGAATTCCAGAGTGAAAACAAAAGCCTGTTGCACAAATACGATGTCAAAATGTATCCCTACAATCACTAATCCTCTGCTTCACTGCTCACGCCTGTGTTGGCTGGCAATTAGATAAAACAACATTTTATATTGGTAATGAAATGACGGGGCGAGCAGTCAGCTATCTAACATCAGCTGGCTCATTTCAAATAAAGAAAGTGTAGTTATGAACTGAAGGCAGGGAAGTCTTCTACAGAAGCTCGACTTCTTATATATGTATATGTATATATGTGTGTATGTGTGTATATATAT